TGCGAAAATGGCTTTGCGTTCGAGCGGCTCATGGACGGTGGTGCGCTAGTATTGGCGGTGGGCCGAACGGATACTCGCTCATTCGGCGATATTCAAAAATTAATATCTCGTTAAATATTGCGAATTTTGCAAAATGGTAGAGGACTTTTCGATTCAGTTTAGTCCATTCTATCTACCCATGAGCGGTGATACACCTATTAAAAGACACCCTGTATAGTCATATAAGATGGCAAGAAAAATGGAAGAAAAAGCAACATTTGTATCAACTTCAGAAGAGGGATAGCTACAAGCTCTCAGTCAATCATCTCTACAAAAAATGAGGAAAAGGCTTATTAAAATAGCCACCCGATTTTATAATCATTCGAAAAAAGACAATGATACTAGTGAGTATAATATTTATTTAATTCTAAAAACATTTATACAATGCTATTAGTAATATAAAATATATTTTACAGCATCCGAAAGTAAAAAAAGAAATTATCGCATTCTCCTTCTACATACATAAAAAATATGAATAAAAAAACGTACCAAGTACAAGTAATTGTGCGTTACCAAATGTTTTTTTGAATCTCCGCCTTCTACATATATTAATACTGAGAATAATGTACAATGCTTACGTAGTCTATATAACGATGTAAGTCTCTATGTAATCTATATAACGATGTATTTGCGCGTGTATTCCATAATAAATCAGTATAACTATGTATAATACTGTTACGCCCGCGCCGTTGCGAATTGAGCGAGCTGGTCGAGCTGCCGGCGAGAGTTACTTGTTTCCTGGACAACGAGATTCTTGGTTGTCAAACGGACGCCATTAGATTTGGAGACGAGCCGTCGACCCGTTCGGACGTGCTCTAACCCCTTTCTGTATTTCGCTACGTTCTCTTGCATTAAAGAGTTTATCACTTTCTAAGTTGGTGTTCCATTTATTTCTCCGCGATCAGGTACGCGTGCGCGTGCACGAGTGCGGAAACGCGGGTAACACACGTTCGAGTGCGCGAACGCGAGTTCTACCGCCCCGGGCGTAACAATACTAATATATTATGAGGTATTGTCTTTTTCCGCGGTCTTATCGAGCATACCAACGTGCCATTGATCTTCCACGTCCTTGATCACGTCGAACTTCTAAAACAAAAAAATATGAATAATATTATAAAATATCGTAAATATAGTAAATATGATATATAATGAATACAGCCTCTAATTAATTCGATATAACTGCAATGAGTGAAGAACCTTAACAATATTTGTATTTCAATTAATAACAAATGTTCTGCAAATAGACAAGT